CACATGAACTTAAGGAAAAATTTCTTAACAGTGAGGGTGACAGAGCACTGGAACAGGCTGCCCAGAGAGGTTGTGGAGTCTCCTTCTCTGGAGATCTTCAAAACCCGCTTGGATGCAGTCCTGTGCCACGTGCTCTAGGTGACCCTGCGTGTGCAGGGGGGTTGGACTAGATGACCTCTAGAGGTCTCTTCCAACCTTAAGCATTCTATGATTCTATGATTCTATGATTCTATGACAAATCAGGTATTCTGATTCTGATTCTTTAGAAAGTAATAGAACTGCATTAAATATATTTCATGTGCATATTTTACCTAGATACTAGAGGTTTTTTTCACTTGGACAAGGAAAAATGTGATATTCAGGTGCTGAATATATGTAATTTTAAATAAGGATTATGAAAATAAATGTTTAAAGTTCACACTAATAAAAATGAAACCAATGCCCTATTTTATTTAAGCTTAGTTGTGTCACAAATTCAGTGGCAATCGAATATGCTCAGACAGTGATGCCTGGCCTTTCCTGTTTGTAAATAATATTCCTCTTGGTATTATGATATTATTGAGAGGATAATGCTATTTTGGTAATTATAGTTTTAACTGTCAGATTGGTGAGGTCCAAATATCACATTTTTTCTCATTTACTTTAGTAACTTTTATTTTTGTTAAATAGATGGCGGGATTTGCATTCATTAGTATTTCATAGCAGTTTTAATTCTTAGTACCAAACAGCCATATTTTCAAGTCCTTAACCAAGCTAAATCTGTAGCCCAGTTGACCACATAGAGAGATTAAGGCTATTGGGATTGTTCCCTTTGTCTTTCCCTGCTGTGGTTCCTGATCTCCCTCTTTGGGATTTACCAGCTACAGCTGGAGGCCCAGTGAAGGTCCCATCCCGCATAAGACACCTCCATTCTGTGGTAATGACTATCACAGCAGTTTCAAAGATATTTCCATTATGTCTTTAGATGTGTGCAAACAGACCTCCCTTTTGAAGGGTTGGTGTACACATTGACATTTCCGGCGGAAGACAAGAGTAGAACTTTCGAGCTTTGCATTTTTGCAATCTTATCAGATGCTTTTTGATGCTACTTCCAGCAGTAGTAATCCTGCCACTGCCTGCACCCTCTTCTGGGATTTGCTTGGGAGTTACCTTAGTGTCTCTCTGCCTTGCAAAATATAGCATGGGCATCCTACAGACTAGCCCAGCTAAGGACTTCAAAAAATGGCACCAGAGCAACTGTTTCTGTCAGCAATGAGACAAGTTTCACAGTAACTTTTGTCAATTGTTTTGAGCAGTGCTGTAATTTATTCCAAGTACACTGAGATGTATGTCACTCTTAGGGGGTCTCCTATCCCTCTCCATCAGTGACTGACCCTACTCTCACGGCGGAAGCTCTGGATCAGACCATTGCAGCATTCGACACAGTGGAGGATCTACTCAAACACTTTAACCCAGACTCCTGGCAAGAAGATCTCGAAAATTTATACACAGACAGTGGCCACCATTACCGAGGCAGGAGCTACCATGACAGGAAGTCCAAAGGTAGGAAAACCCAGAGTGCACATAGCTGGGCTAAAGCCAGAATATTTCTATGCCTCACAGAAATATGCGTTGGTCAAGTATCATATTCTGGTGCCCTCATTCTTTTTGGAAACATAAGGCACACTACCACCTGTTACAAACAGGAATAAGACATTTAATCCTTAATCATTTTCTGAGTAGGATCTTGTTTGGGAAGGCAGGCTGAAAACTGCCCATCATTATGATAAATGCACAAATAAAATCATAGGCCCCTGTGTAAAGGACAGATGGTTCTCAGCTTCACTCTCTTAAACATTGTTTTGTGTGTAAGGCATGGGGCTCCTAATTACCTGCACTATCATCCTCCTTTAAATATCCTGCTTTGAGATTGTTCTCAGCTGAGTGGGAAATAATCGCTTTTATCACGTTGTGCTTAGGGAAGCATCTGCTGCAGACACCTGTATGTGCAGCTGTTTTTTTTTTTTAAGGATGCAAACATCTCACTGTTTTTCATTATGTTGGCAGGAAGCATTATTATCTTTGTGTGTAGTTGAACAAAGCACACGTTTCTGGGTTATGTTTCTTATTTCCTTCCATTCAAATCATTCACCAAATGGTAAAGCAAAGATATGTTAAGCTAGTAGTAAAAACCCATAAAGATAAAGAAACACTATTTAGAAGAGACGGTCTTGCTCTGGACTAACCCCACTGGAGGGGCTGATGAAATTGTTTTTAGTGTGCAAATACAGATCTAGGAGGCCTCTTAGGATTTTTCCAGATGACGGTTTCGACGGGTTTCACTGAAGATCAATAGTGAAAGGTTTCATTTAAATTGAATTCTCTTTTTAATATATCTTCCAAGATGCACATTTGTATACATTCTACTGTATAATTTTAAATATAATAGAGTCCAATCACAGTTTTGATTCTGTGAGTTCTTCGATGTATTTGCTTCCCAAATCCTATCCTGCTACACATGTGCTAAGCAAGGAAAGAGGATTTCAATGTCTTGTTTACAACTTAATTTGTGAGTCCTCAATGTACTTTGATCTGATAAAGGGCATATATGTTGCATTTATATTAGGACAAATACAGTTATAAGAATGTTCCCAAGCCCTGAAATCCAATCATCATATTGCTAAATTGTCAGCCTGATCTCAGCTTGCTTTGGACCAGGTCAAGGATCATTCTCCCAGATCATTTCTGAGCATGAATCAGGAGGCAGCAAAGACCAGCTGTCATTTGCAGTAAGAAGCCTGAATGGGCCCATCCAGTTTGGGAGGACAAGAGAGGGTATTCATAAAGATGTGGCTTTTAGACCTTAGTAGAGGAGACTGATCTCAGGCACTCACAATGTATTGACACATGCAAAACCAGCTTGGCTTACATTTTTCAAAATAGGTTAATTGTCTCCATTTTGGGGCTCAGCATTTGAAAAGAATCTGTATGAAGGTCTGAGGAATATCTAAAATATGTCTAAATATCTAAAATACCAGACCTCTTCACTATGCTCCATTTTGACATGTCAAAAATTTAGGCAACCACCACAGTCAGTGTCTTGTGAAGTTGCCCTTAAGGTCTTCCACAGAGATTGCATCACTTCCAAGATCAGTTTGATCTCATTTAGGGTTTGTGAAAAAAAATCAGCTGTATGTCTTTTATTCCCGGATGGGTTGGTCTGGGATGGTTGTGTATAAAAAAAGTCATAAAGAGGTTGTTTTGATTTTAATAGAAGCTGATGAGAAATCTGGATCCTACTCCAGTTCTACTCTCCGGATTCTGTTTGATTATCAGATCCTACTTAGCCTTGTGCAAAACCACACACGTACAGACACACATATATATACACATATGTAAAAAGCACACATATAAAACAACATTTGCTTTTTTATCCATACTGATCATATAGGCTGCAGAAATCAGTCATCTGACCTTTTTATCAGTTTTCAAAAAATTCAGATGCATAGAGTTTTCCACATTTACTATAAATGTAATTTATCTTCTTGCCTAACCAAATGCTATAAAAACATAAAAAAGTTTTCCAGTTTATAATTTTAACACTTATGATTTGTTTTATGAGCAGTTTTGTTTTGGCTACAAGAGTAAGGAGAAACAGTCTTGCAACCATTTTGCTTCCTTTTGTCTTCAATCTACAGGCCACAAATGCTGACTGTTGCCAACCTTCTGGACAAAAGTACCTCTCCAAAATCAAATCTTTAAAGAATTCTCTTTTTTTTTTTTTTGTCATAAAATTTAGACAATATTATAGGCTTGTTTGTGGATGATGTCAGGAGTAGGCAATGGCTTTAACAAGTCCTTTCATTAGAAGTGCTCTTTGACTCTTAAGCGTAGACACCCTGAATCTCTGAGGAATGTTTATAGGCACTGAAATAACCTTGCAGAAAAGAAAGCAATAGATTATATCATCAATTATTTCAGATATCTCTATCTGTTTCTGCTTCCAGTTTGAGTTTATTCTTTATCCTTAGAATAGCCCTGAGGCAGATTAGAACAATTTGATGTAATCTCTGCCTATCTTTCTCAGCATTTTCAGACTGTGTCATATAAATGATATAAATGAATCACTAATGATTTCACTTCTATCCAACTCCCTGCCCATACCAAATGATCCCAGAAAATTAAGTTTAAGAGTTAGTGTTGCTAAATATCAAATCTGATAACAGGACACATGCTAAATGGAATTTAAATTGTATTTTTTTTTCTTCTGCAAGGATGGAGACTCCAAAACTAGGCAGCTTTTTCCAAAATCGAACTACCCTTACAGTAAAAAAGTCTTTTCTCATATTTAAAAGGAATAAGAATAGAGACTCCACAACATCTCTAGGCAGTCTGTTCCAGAGTTCAAACAGGCTCATATTAAAAAATGTTTTTTTCTTACGTTCAGATGGTATCTTCTGTAGTTCAATTTGTGTCCATTGCTTCTTGTCCTTTCAGAGAAAACTCTGGTTCCATCTTTATTCACTCCCGTCAGCTATTTATACATTGATAAGATCCCCTTGGTTCCGTTCTGCAAAAAAACTTGAAGACTGTGTTGATTAAATCTTTATATATGATAATTTCACTCTATCTACAAATTTTTTTCTCTCATTTTTACTGCATTGATGCAACTCTATTGAGTTAAATGCATTTCTTCCTGCATACACAACTGAAGTGAGAAATTGCTGCCAGGTGTGTTTGATGTTTGAAATTTAATTGTGCATATGCACACTGTGGTTTGCCATTAAATACTTCAGTATGTTAACTGTAAGTTAACTATATATTCTATGAAACCCAGACTGGAAGAAGAAGACTGAAAAGAAAGGGTATGATATAATTTCAAAATGCTTAAATGAGAAATCTATATATAAAATATGGTTTATTCCTTACACATGAAACTAGGAAAAGTAGGTGTTTCAAAAACATTTGCAACGTACTTAAAAAGTTTAGCTAGCCATTGATGCATTTTAGAAGATCTCAGAGAATGAATATTTGCCTTAAGCTCATATAGACTATTAGGAAAAATCAGGTAATGTGAAATAAAGTTCTTTAAAATAATTCTTTTGCACTGATGTTGTAGCTGACCTCATAATAACTTAGCTATTATAAATGTAAAGTTCCTCTAAAGGAATATAAGAGCCTATTGGGTTATTTAAAACTGTTTTAGCAAGTACATAAGTAGACTGAAAAAGAAAAGAGCCATTCTTTGCAGTTATCTTGGACTTCTAGACAAATAGCTCTTTATTTTTATGGATAGTCATAATAAATGTTTATAAGTGCCTGAAGGAAAGCTGTTCATCATGCTTTTTTGAAAGCATCAGTGTACCTGTTTGACAATATTAGAACTTCTTTGACATATAGAGAAGCTGTAAAAAGTTTCAACTATCAGTCACACATCATTTAACTTTTCCCATGTCCTTGTTAGTGTGTATCTATTATTTTTCACTCCCAATTTTTACATGCCCTCAAAAAAGTCTACACAACTTAAAAAAAAGCAAAACAAAACCCTCTTTTTTTGAAGCGGCCTATGTACAAAGATCTAGGAAGAGGGAAAGGAGGAAGAAAAAGAAGCTCATTGTTTCCCATTTTATAGGTAGATCCAAAGGTCTAAAGAAAGAGATCATCTTTAAAAAGAAATGCTTTTTCCTAAGGAAATGGGAAACTTTTTCCCTAGGAAATGGGAACACACATAGATACACTCTGGTAATGAACAAGATTACACAAGACTTCTGTGCCTTCATTTTTTTTTCTCTTAGCTCATTTTCTTTTTGAGAAACAGTTTGCAAGAAACTTTGGCTATCAGAAGAAATTAATCAGGTGGAACATTCTTGCAATAGCATCTGTCTGCAAGGACAGCTTTACAAGTTAAATAAACAAACATTTGCTGGCATAGCCAGCAAACTGTTCTCTAAAAGGGGAATACTGAGATGGGAGGCAAGCACAGACACCACAAGTCTTTGTGGAATGTTTCTAACTGCTATTGCCAAATAGGTTCCCAAAATCATGCAAGTTTTGCCATGCTATTAACAATAGCTTTTCATTATCACTACTTACTAAGATTTAGCAAAAAGTTAAACAAAATTTGAACTCAAGAATGCCATTTCTTGGGGGATTGCAAACAGGGACCGATAAATTACGGCAGACATCCATGTACTCTTACTTGACAGGTTCTGGGATGAGCGCCAGCAAATTTCACTGTACAACACAAGGCACCACAAGGAATTCAGGCACCACAAATGCAGAATACCCTGTCATTCATGGCAAATATGGATATCATGAGTAGAAGGAATGCCTTCTCAAATAACTGCTAATACAATGTCCACTCTTAAAAACCACTATACTTCTTCCTCCCATTTTAAGTTGGCAACCAAGTTCCCTGTTGCATGCATATTGCATGCATTCATTTCACAGTCTAATTCAGATCTACC